AATCAATTTTAAAATAAAAATTTGAAATTAAATATATTTTTTTCTAACTTAATCTTGTTAAGTAAGGATAAAATTGTCATTTTAATTCTTAAAATATAATAGTTTTCAAAGTGTAACAAATTTGGTATAGATTTCAAATTTCCAATAAAATTTGGTGTATAGAAACTAATTTTCCCATTTTTTTTTTTGTTAGCTCTCTCTTTCAAGATATTTTGATTTGGTGAAATAAAAAATCTTCATTAAACTCTGAGTAAATAGAAGGCAAATCTATTAATAGAAAATTACATTGAATATAATGGATCAAACAAAGCAACTACTACAAAAGACAAAACTACAAAAGCTACATAGAAAGATAAACTCTAAACAACCCTTAAAACTAACTACATAGATGTTGTTTATCCTTTATGCATAAAAACAATACAAATCTATAAGTTTATAAAATTTCAATTATGAAGACTACAATTTATATTTTTTTGCCAATTTAGGTGTTTGACTTTTTCGTGCACCAGACTGTATATCCAAAAATTTATATGATTTATATCACTAATGCATATAACAGCCTAGAATATATACGTAACATAATAATGATTTATATATTTTGTTTTGACTTGTGGTCTATCAATTCCGATCTAATGGTTTAGTGATATAAATTTTTTTTATTTTTTTTGTTTGAAAAAAAATTGTAAACGGATCATAAAATGAAGTTAAATTGAAATTTGATGAACTGTATATACGATTATATTGTGAAGGTCGACAATTATTATTTTCTCCACATGTAATTGAGCCAGGTTCAAGATAAGAAAAATGGAAATTCATCAAATTATTCTAGACACACTTTCCATCAAATTCATAAAATGTTAAAAATGATAAAATTGTATGACTTGTACTTTTAATTCTTCTAAATGACACTTATAATTTTTGTTTTAATTTTTTTCTCTTTATCTTCTCAACTAATACATAAAGTTATAATTCAAATTTCAAATCATATGCCACCTATTTTCCTAAAACAAATTTTCTCATTTTTGATATAATACAAAACAATATTAAATTTTATTTGGTGACAATAGATTAATACTAAATATTGAATTATATCAACTTTATGTAATACTTGAATTATTAAATTTTTTAAACAAATCGATAAAGTTTAGTGATTAGATTCGTTTAATTACATAGTCTGATTATTCCCATATATATAGCCTAACTCTATCTTTCTCTATTAATCGATGGTCGGTTTTATATTTCAGTTTCTTAACCGTCTGGAATTTTCGAAATTGAATTAATCGACGTCCGGTTTTGTACAACCAAAATCCGGTTTAAATATGGTTTATATCAATCATATGATTAGAGAAATGTCCGTTATCAGCAATCGCAACTTTTTGTTTCGCTATTTCCATCAAACAAGCCAGGTTCGAAATTTCGTTGCACGATTCGTAGTTTAGGCATCGATTTCAGTTTACTGTTTTGGGAAATTTGCAGATTTTGTTAGGATTGTAAAGTGAATCTGATAAACAACAGATATTAAAATTAATTACACATAAAATTTATTTGTATGCCAGTTACACTTTGACTAATTATGTACCACTAATCAATAACAATGAAACTAGTTCAATACCAAACCAAAATGTTCTCATAATGAACACAAATCACTTTCAAAGTTTCAATATTATTCCTGAACCAAAACAATCCGAACAAAACAGAGTAATCAAACCAATAACCGAAATGTTGACTCTGCTATTAGTGTAGCAAAATGACATAAAAGCTCACACACTAACACAAAACCCTAAGAAGCAACTTTGGATTTTGGTTTCATATCTTGTTGGCGAAGGAAAGACCTTCCTTGGTCAACACGTCAAGGCTCTCAACAGAAGGTTGTGCTCGTGCAACTTTAGCAATTGCCGTGTTCTCTTCAGGAGTTCCACCTTCTAAAAACGCTCCGATTAACTTTCCTTCTTTGATCCAGTAGCTTCCGAATTTTGGCTTCTCCGATTTCGGGTCATTGTCTCCAAACAATACGGTTTCTCCAACATTGTCACCGTAGAATTGCCACGAGAGATCAAATGCTCGAGAGTAGAAGTATGGAAGATAATCATATTCAGGAACAGATTTCCCTTCCTCTGCTGCCATGATTGCCTACAAAGATCATATAATCGATTCGATTTGGATTAGAACTCATTCGTGCTTATTGTTTAAGACGAGAAAGAGAAGCATTTTGTTTACCTTGACGGCTTGTTCAGCAGATTTGCGAGCATGATCAACGTGTTCAACGCGTCTCATTTCGTTGTAGAGTTTCATTGGGAAGGTTGCTACATCACCAATGGCGTATACATTTGGAACACTTGTTTTGAAGAACGCATCGGTCTGCAACCAAAGAAAGATCTCATGAGTTTACAATATGATTATAAACTTAAAACACTGAAGGAATGGTTACAAACCTTCAAGCCACCTTTCTCTTCTTCAACTTGACCTTTGAAGAGTGATATAATAGGTCTAGCGCCAACACCTACAATCACTATATCAGCTTCTAACGTTCTTCCGTCCTTCAATTTCACCTCAGTAACCTGCAATCATTAAGCAAAAGAGCGGTTACTATCGTTGAAGCAGTGAATTAGAGAAAAAACTGTTATTTGAATTGAATGGTGATGCTAATTGCTAACCTCTCCAGCTGAATTAGTGCTGAAACCGGCTGCAACGGTTCCTTTGACAATGTTGATCCCTTTGTTGGCGTAGTAACCCTCGTAGAACGAAGCAATACCAGCAGTAAAAAGCCGAGGCACTTTTCAAATGACACAACGAAAAAAGAAAACAATGTTAAGGAAATGGAGAGGAATGAGATTAATAAAGTAAATGGTTTGTCTTAAACTATCGACTTACTGCACCAAGGTTCTGGATAAACCATTGTAACTTCAAGATTGTTATTCTTCAGAGCAGCACTGAGTTCAAGACCAATGTAACCGCCACCAACAACCACGGCTTTTCCTTTCTCCTTTACTTCCATTGCATACGCGAGGTGATCAGCATCACCGAGTTCTCTCAAGTAGAATATGTTCTTAGCATCTGCACCTTGGACTCCAAAATCTGACAACCTTATGACCTACACAATTTCAAGAAATTCCTTAGACAGAAAGACATGAATGGAAACTTCCAAAGTAGAGAAAGGGAGAGAGATTGTGCTCACAGAAGAACCAGTTGCAGCTATCAAAGTTTGGTACTTGAAGACTTGTCCAGTACCACTGACAAGTGTCTTTGCAGCAAGATCTGCTTTCACAATCTCTGTGTCCAGGATCAACTCAATACCTGAAAAAATATGAGCATTAGAATCAAAGTTATCTAAACATTTGTGTTATCGAGCGCTCAAACCACACACTCAAAGGAAACCAACCAACCAACCTTTGTCTTTGTACCATTGAGGGAACTGTCTCTCTCCTCCACTTCCAGCACAGACATAAAAACCAGGAAGTGTAGCTTTATCTGTTCACCATGATCACAACAACAATCTTAAACTAAGAACCGAGCACTAACTCAACTAAAACCCCCCAAGTGATCTAAATCAACAAAGATTAAATTTTTACTCGCGAGGTTGATATATCCTTTGCTAAGTGCAGGACGTTCATATGGAGGCACCTGAAAGTTCCCAAATATTATATAAATCACATAGAGATCGAAGCATAACAATGATCCAAGAAGATGCATATAGATCGAAAACTTACAACTTCTCTTGAAATGATAGCAAGTTCTCCAGGTTTAACACCTTGATTAGCGAACTCTCTCGCTGCGTATCCCTTTTGATTCCAAAGCAACAATGAACAAAAACAAAAACAAAAAAGTCGAATTAAAAGAGCTTGAAAACTTCTGATTCGTTTGTATAATAATATAGTAAGCTCAAATTTGCGTCATCGTTCTCATCTACTTCCTTGTTCTACTAAATCCGAACCAACCAAAATCAATAGATCTAAAGATAGAATCAAACACAGAAACTACTTCGTAAATCATGAGGAAGCTTCACTAGTGAAGCAGAGTTATTACAGAGTGATGATTCGGTTATTACAAAACACAAATCGGAGAAGAAGAAGACAGAAACTTACGGCGGAGACACCACCACCGATTATCACATACTTGAAGCTTTTTTCTTCCGCCATTGATTTTTGCGAGATCGAATCGGTTCTTCTTGATTTGTTGTCGATTTACGTTCTCTTTTTTGTATTTTTCTATCTTACTTTCTCGGATCCGAATAATGCGATTAGTCGGGGGTTTATATAGAGAGACGTTTGTCCGGTATAGAAGGAATCTTAACACGTGGCTTAATTTAAACCGTCGGATATTATCCCGCTTTGGTACAGGATTCAACTCGTGCGTCCAACATTTTTGACCCGGTCTTTTTCAATACGTCGATGTGAAAACGACAATTGGCTTTAAATGTTCCGGTACGATCCGGTTTATTTATTCCTCCAGTGGATCTGGTGGTTTTTTTAATTTATATTTGGCACAGAATCATATAATATAAAAAGAATCATTAGTCTAACATTGTCAGCAAGCACCAGTCAAATTGACGAATAAACTACAAAATCTTTTGAGGAGTTGGTGGATTCATTGGAATTTTTTTTTTTTTGTATAAACTAGCCCATTAGCAAATTTAAGTGAACGTACGAATTAATTAATGGATGCTGCAGTAAATGTACTTATAAGTAAAGGAATTAAAAAGAAGAAATTTCTACTAATCAAAAATGTTATGGATCATCTAATCCTTAATTGGGATTAATAATCCCTTTGACACGTCTAATAATTTTCACACATATTCGTCTTAGATGCTTGCTTCATATACAAGAAGCTGTTAATATGCACTGAA